TATATGCACATATCTATGAAATTTGCAGAAATTAATGAACAGTGTTTCATTAGATTTAATTACATACTACCAGGAGAGCAATACACTTGGATTTTCCTCTTTCCTCTGGTTAACTTTTAAAAATGAGTTGGTGTAAGACAGCTCCATCGCACAGTGCAGTGACCTAGAGCTTGGCTGACGGTGTTGTTCAGCTCTGTCCTGGTGCTGCAAGCAGCTGGTTCACCAGCCCAAGTGAAAAGCTGGCCTTGTTTATTGTTCAGCCATTGATCCCCCTGACTGACTTTATCAGGTTCTTCTGCTTTGTATGGTGTCTTTCAAGAAATTCTTGCTTGGACTGACTGAGATTGGTGAGGCATATAATAAATATCATCGATATTTGACCATTTAGAAACAAATTCTCTAACCTGTACTAACAGTGCATGTTCTGAAATATACTGAAGGCTTTTACATGCTATTCTCCACTGTATGTGTCCACAGAAATGCAGTGAAATCATTGTTGCTCACCTTGGCTACCTGAACTACACTCAGTACAACATATTTGTTAGCTTCGAAGATCTGAACATGTTCATGTACATTCTCCAGAACATTACCTTCACAGTAAGTATGAAGTTTTGTACTAGCAGAAGTTGTCTCTTTAATGCTGTAGAAGTGTTCTTTAACTGTAACTAAAAAGTATCTGACTTTTGAAGGTAAACATAAAAATGCAGTTAAGTTTCCTGTCACTACTGATGTCAGAACAATTACAGCATTTGCTGTTAATAAGGTTCTAGACCAATTCTTTTAACTCTGTAAGGAAAGATTTTTCTTTATGAACTGCTAATGCTGTTTTCTGGAACAGATAAATTTAGTCTTAACTCCTGGGAGATATTTTTAACAATAGACAAGGTAGACCAGAGCATCCAATTCTTTGAAATTGCTTATAGAGATGTTGCCTCTCCGAAGCATGGTATCTTTTTTAGCCTTTCCAGAAGATATATCAGAATTAGCGAAATTTTCCAGATTTTACAAGTAAAGTGTGGACTAGAAAGATTTTAAAAACTCAAAGAAAAATGAAGATTTTTGGGTTTGGACTGTGCTTATGAGAAAGAGAAAAATGGTGGGGTTTGGGGTTTTTTTTGGGGGTAAAATAAGCAGGCTACTGAAATAATTCACTGAAATAATCCCTGGTGAAATAACTATCCCAGTTCATACTGCTAAAGATTGCTTATAAAACACATCACTAGTCTGTACTGATTGGCTCCAGAAAGAAATATAGAATATTTGCGCTGGGAGAAAATGAAACTAAACCAAGTTTATGATACAGGTTACTATGGTATATTCTACCTGCACACAGCATTTGGTATGGCAGAGAAGATAGCAAGCAAAAATCTTATTGTAAAGCAACAATTCTTTTTAATATACTAAATTAACTTTCTAAATACTAAGACTGGTAATATTCTAGTGCATAAAGCACATCATTAAAAATAAACTCTAAGGGGAAAAAATCCTAAATTTACCAATCCTCTGTTTAGTTCCAAATTTGAAACAGGACAGTGTTGGGGCATTTATAGTTGTGCAGTTTATTGTGTTGCTTTGTAGACTGCCTTTAAGGCAGAACTGTCTGCAACTCCCCAAAAAACTAAACCCAAAGCTCTGCTTTGCTGCAGCAACTAAAATCATCAATTTATCTCATTATTAGCAATTGTTTATGGTGATCTCAGTTGAAATCATAGATTGCCTTTTGTGTAATAGGATTCTCTACATATAATCTTCATTCTGCATTTACAGTTTAAAAAGACAAGACAGAGGTTGACAGATTTAATACACTGAAAGGTAAAGCCTCTTGTTCAGATGAGCAGAGCATATGTTGTACCAGGGAGTTTACATGTCAAAAGTGGCTTCCAAACAGAAGCAGGCCAGGTATGAGATGAGTTGTTAACAGAGCAGAGTTTATGCAAACTGACATGTTGTAATTGATACTTTGCCCTTCTATTAATTAGAGGAGAAGAAGGAGCTTTTCCTCTTAACCTATGAAAAGATTTCGATATTTCTAGTAAGCTCATTTACTCTTCCCTCACTTGATTTTCTTTTTTTCCGCTTCTGAGATGAGGGAATAAGCTTTAAGAAAATAAACTCCGTATGGGAAGCAGCACACTTGTACCTTATTGACCTCTCATAATCAATTTATGCATCTGACGTTGCTAACAGAGAGCAGCATACTGGATTTACTCCTTTATTGGCATTCAGACTTTGTATGAAAGTGCAGCTGAAATTAATGGAGACTATAATTTTTGTCCTGAGAAGTGCTTTAACATAAGACTGTTATAAAGTGGCAGGATAAAAGAGAAGTAAGGCTATTAGGCTGCTTTCATTATCTTTTCATCAGATATCTGATGGGTATGAATTTATGTCTGTCTTTCCATGGTGACATGATGGAATTTGGTTATACCTTTAGATTTTTGAAAAGCCAGAGAACTTTTCAGTGTCTGCAGAAAGTGCCAACTACTGATGTTGTATGTACCCTGTCAAAACATTACACATTGGGCTGTTTTTCTTCTGTTTTCTTGTAGTGGAAAACCTACAATCCAACTTTTTCACAAGTGGAAATATGGTTCCGGTTTGTCTTCGTAGTTCTTACTTTTATGGTCACGGTAAGACTTTGTTTCAGTTTTTCTGGAGTATGTTACATAGGCAGATGATAGCACTGCTCTGTAGTGCTGTGTTCAGTAATTTATTCCCAGCAGAGCTGAGACATCACTGAATGGGTGTAAAAAATCTTTCTGAAATATTTACGTAGTTGCTGCTTTTATGATGTTGCAGGTGGTATTGAAGGGACATTAATAAAATAGGCTAAGTGGGAAAACTTGTTTTTCTAAACTTCAATTTTGGATTAAACATTAAAAAATTTTGCTTAAACAAAGGAAATTGTGATTAGATGCTAGAAAAAAAGTTATTTTTGGAGTACAGGTAGGCTCAGGCTTTGGAATAGGATGCCAAGAGTGTGGGCTGTTCATCTCTGAAAATAAGCAAAACTCAGTTGAATATGAACTTCATCTAACTTTAAAGTCGTCACTGCCTTGAGTGTGGGGATGGGGCCAGAGGACCTCCAGTGGTCCCTTACAACCTAAATCATGCCATGATGTAGATTATCTCTCCTCTGCAACCTGGTTTGCCCCCTGTAAATGAAGTGTTTGGAAAGAAAACCCAACATAAAATCTAAAATGCAGAATTTTCAGAGTAAGGACACTAAAGTACTGTGCACTTGGATAGCATTTTTCTCACATAAATGATGTCACTGTGCACGTAACTGTGAATAAAATATGGAACCTGCTTTTTAAAAAGTGAACATAGGTGGAAGTTGGTCGTGTGTAATGAGTAACCAGTAATGAAGCAACATTTTTTTAATACACTGTTGATTTTCACAGCACTACTCATTTCCTTCTCAGTTTGCTTGAGCGACTGAGTCATTTGCATTGGGGTCAAACAGGGAACTTGAGGCTGAAATAGCAACTAGAAGATATGGCTCCTGTTTTACAGTGTTCTCAGTGGCAAATCCCCATGAATTAGCCTTTGCAGTGTGCTGTGTTATCTTTTACCTGTGGTTGAGCCGTTAAGACTGTATTCCCTCCCTCCTTACAAATTGTTGCTGTTGTTGTTTTATAGTGTCTGTTTGCACATTCCCTGCGGAAATTCTCCATGAGAGACTGGGGTATTGAACAGAAATGGATGTCCATCCTACTTCCTCTCCTGCTCCTTTACAATGGTACTTGTGTCCCAGAATTTTTAGAAACTTTTTAAAAACAAAAACCAGAGAGAATGCAAAATGGAATTTGGCCTTAAATTTATAAGCAGCTGTTTGTAAGGCTTCAGAAAATTAATTAAAAAAAAAAAAAAAAGAAAAAAACCCCCACCTTTTCAGGTATAGCAAATTCAGGGCCTTATTGAGTAGATAAATTCCTTTAAGATAAAGCAAACTTCAATTTCATTTACTGGTGTAATTTGAAAAATCTAGGGGATTTTGTTCCTCTGAAGGTACATTCTGCTTTGCTTTTCATAATGAAAAAGTAATTTTTCCTTTGTTTAACTTCTTTATTTTTGTTTTGTTACAGATCCATTTTTCCCCCTTTCTTTTCTGGTGAACAGCTGGTTTCCTGGAATGCTGGATGATCTATTCCAGTCACTGTTTCTGTGTGCACTGTTGTTGTTCTGGCTTTGTGTCTACCATGGGATAAGAGTCCAGGTAAGGGTGCAACATTGTCTACTACTTACTGAGAAAACAGTACTTGTTTTTTCAGTTCTCTCAAAATGTGACAAAAATGAAACCAAATGTTTACAGAAGATATATTTATTTTATTCATAAAGTACAATGTGACATAGGAAGCTTTGGAGTTAAATTGATTTATGATAAAGTAGATTTAGTCTACCAAGCCTAAATGAGATAGATGGGACAGGCTGCAGAATTATGATGCCATTATGCTTTGTTCTTGCTTGAAGGGTTTTGTTGTTTTATATGGTGATTGATTGTTTTTTTTAAACCACTTTAAAGTACTGCATAAGAAATGTATGAATTCTGGAGCATATTCCTGTATTTGCATTATCAGTGATGTATGTAGAAATGTGTATAAATAGGATGCTCCGATTCTACTGCATCTTATTAACACAAATGTGATGCAATTCTATGCCTTCTCTAATCACCTGTGCAGGTTAAAAATACAGAAGGCGAGTCTCCTAAACTAGTTCATGTTCAATGGAACAAAGATGAGAGATTTTTTTAATCTGACAAGAATAAATTCTCTCTCAAATATGGGTTCACTCCTTCACCACACTGTTGTTTTCTCAACAGGGGCAAAGGAAGTGCTTAACTTTCTATCTGCCCAAATTCTTTATTGTTGGACTGTTGTGGCTGGCCTCTGTGACACTGGGAATATGGCAAACGTAAGTGATGTAAGATTTAGTGCAGAAGTATGAGCTGAGAGAGTATTTGTGAATGTGAAGATGGGTTATAACTAGTGGTATCTGTTCTTAATTCTTATACCTCTGACCGTGATATAGGAGTGGAGTTCAAATTCTTACATCTTCCTCTTCTGCAGATTGTGACTGATTTGAAAACAGAATTCTCTGTGGGTGATCTAGTAGTACATAGCTTTGTAAACTGGAGTGAGATCTAGAAATCACTGCTTTGTCAATATGGCTTCCTGCAATCCTCACTCTAGCACTATGTCCCAATTAGCTTTTAGGATTTGATGCAACAGTTTCTCTGTAGTTAACTATTACACATTTTTACCAAACTTTCTCAACTATTGAACCTGCACAATTGGCATTGACACAGCTTAAGTCAAGCTGTGCTGTCTCTCTTCAAGACTCAGTTCTTTCATTTGGTTTAGTATTTCTTCCTATTTTACAATTTGTTTTGTTCCCATAAAGGTGTCACTATTGCCCACCCAGAAAACTTTCTCAGTTTTGGTACATTTGTAGTTTCTAAACTGTTTTGGTCTCAAGTGTTTGCCTCTTATTTTATTTCTCAGAAGGACGGTACCTTCTAACCTTCTCCGTGCCATTGTGCATGGTTGAAAGCAGTGCAGCTGCAGGAAATGCTCTTGCTGTCAGGAGAATTGCTGTGAGGCAAGGCCTCATACAACAGTCTTTTTTTAAGTATAATTCTTACCACTAAGGATAAAATTTAAACATTAAATCCTGAAGGCTTGTAGGAATTTACAAGATTATACGTTTTCTAAAAAATAAATGGGGAGATTAGACATGATCACAATTTAAATCCTCCATATTTCTTCAAAACTGGGTTTGGCAAGGAGGATGTTATATATAGTAAATTGTCATGGCTCTGTTGGAATTAATGGCACCAACTTATATGGCCAAAACATTTAGTTTTAAACTCTGTATAGTAACTTTAAGCCTTTCCTTTGTTAATGGGTTTCTTTTGACCCTGTCTGGAATGGTGCACGTACCACTTTTTCTTTTTGCATCTTTTCTAGTGTCAATGAGGTACATGATCCTACATATCAATACAGAGTTGACACAGGTAATTTCCAGGTAAGTCAAAAATGTTTTCTTGCTATTAAATTGTAGGTGGAGTTAGGCAATATAAGGAGGTGGGGTTTGTTCTTCTATAAAAATCTCTAACATGGTTTAGAAAATAGAAAATGCTGGTAAGATGGTCTCAGGCTGATTAGAGTACCTTTAATTTTGCTTTAGATCAGGCATAGACTATATTGAGCTCCATCTCAATGAGAAGAGTAAATTGTCTTGCAAATCTGGACACTCAACACCACAAATTTCATCACAGACTCACGACTGTTGGGATTGAAAGAAAAAATTTTAAGCCTCTTATTAAGTCAGTTTTGTCCATCTTTACTCCTGCCAAGATCCTCCGTCCTAGTAAACTTCAGACTTTCTTGTTGTAAAGGAGGATCTGATGTATATGGGTCCTTGTATTGTGCTCAGGAGATCTGTTTTCAGAAAATCATTGAGATGCAGCTCACTGTGAACACAGTGAACAAAATGCTGGCTCCTATTAGATATCCTCTTTACATTCCCCTGAAGTCTACCTGGATGTGTCACCATCCTCATTTCATGAGCCTACTCTCCCTGCATAAATGGACCATCTCGTGCTTTGGGAAATAATGGTTTCTATTGAGGGAAGAAGGAATAGACCAAATCTCATTAAATAATAAAAACAAACACTTTTCTCACAGGGAATGAAAATCTTCTTCCTTGTGGTGGCAATCACATACATCCTCTACCTTTTGTTCCTGATAGTGAGGGCATGCTCAGAGCTTCGAAACATGCCTTATGTTGGTAAGGAGTATTTCTTTTGATTCTTCCCCAAACAAGCTTGCTTCTCCTACCCGTAGGTGTAAATTCACTAACAACAACTTTTCTCAATCTGTTTCAGATCTCAGGTTAAAATTCTTGACTGCATTAACCTTTGTAGTGCTTGTCATTAGGTAAGGCTTTTCCAAGTACACTTCTCAGTACTGTAACTTTTGTAACCTTTTTTTCAGGGCTTTGAATACATTTTGTTGATAAATTGTCAGTGAAATTGAAGAATGTCTTTTGATATGGCTATTATGGTAAACATGTCTTAATTTTTTAACCCTTCTTGAGGCTTTTTGAGCTAACTTTGTATTATTTCAATTACCATGGCAGTGCACTGCAAGAGCTAGAGGTTCACTTGGCAGAGATATTTTCTGTACTGCTGAGTAGTCTGCAGTGCACCGTTCCCCTCTTCTAGAGCTTTGTGGGCTTCACTTAGTCAAAGCAAAAGTTTGCAATTAGTTTCTTAGGTCATTGTTAGTATCAGTCTTCCCCAATCCCAGCTGTTATTTCAAACAAGGTTGACTGTTGGATTGTATGTAGAGGGCGAAATCTGAGGAACACAGACCATGGGATTTTTCCACTTTACTCTGTTGACTGCTGACTTTTAATTACAAAAGAATCATTCTTAATTGAGAACTATGAAAGTAAATATCTTAAAATAAATGTTAACATAATTATCTTCTCATATACTCTTCTATCAACCTACTATTTCAATTTTGCAGCTTAAAGACACAGTAAGCCTATATGCCTTTTTTTCCCCCCCCCCCACAGCATTGTCATACTCTACCTACGCTTTGGAGCACAAGTTCTACAGGACAACTTTGTTGCTGAGCTGTCAACTCATTATCAGAATTATATCCTTGTGTTGTGATACTGCTCAAGTAGGAAAGTTAATCTGTTTTCATATGCAGAAGGTACTTAAAAATGATGTTCCTGAGACCTTTGACTTACAGGTGGACTTTTGAAGTTTAGTCTGTTTTGTTCGAGGTTTCATGTCAGCATTTTTCAATGGCTCTTCATGAAGATTATGAGCAAGACAGTCTCAGTCTAATTTGTTCACATCACATGTATCACAGCTGCTCTTGATACTCTTCCAAGGGAATGAAGGGTTAGATATGCATGCCTGATGCATATCTGAGTAATTTTAATGAGATGTGACAAATTTGGCTGTGTTTGCTGCCTCAGTTGTTTGCTGTATACCTATCATACTAAAGCATGAGAAATTAATGGTTTGGAAGTCTCTGAAAATGCATTTGTGGCTTGGTCCAAGTCTACCTGTGGTATAGGTCACAGCAGAGGATTGAAGTGACTTGACAGAGACTATTTCTGATGTCTGTTGACAACAGGAAAAGTTAAAAAAAAGAGAGATCCTAGTTCATTCTACTTTCTTAAAGTGCCTGTGTGACTGCAGCTGCTCTGGTTGCCGATAAGCAGATCTGTGTTGGGAGGTAGTAGAAAACTGTATGTAAAGCCTTCAGTATTTTCCCAAAAGAATAGCAAGAAACCATCTTTGGAATTCTATCTACAGATAGTCCTTTCTCCTTTCTTCTTTTTAAAAAATAAGCAGAACAAAACAAAACCTACCCGAACATCCCCTTACTCTGCTTTCCTTTAGCACTGAGGGCAGAACGATTCAATTGACCATGCTCTCCATTGCTCAGGAGTAGACCTGGACTCAGCAAATGTGACTTGTGTTAAAGCTTTGTTTTTAGTGGGAGCTTTACCTGGAAATAGCTTGAGTACATCAGTTGCCATTGAATTTCAAACATGCAGTTTTGTTTAGCCGTTTATGCTCTCACACTTGAATAAGGTAAACATTCTTTGCATTGAAACAGCTTGTGTATGGATTTGGTCTTGTTTACAAAGTTAGTATGTATGGAGCTATATTGAGCAATATCCTTGACACTTACTACCAGCAGAATTCTTATCATTTTATGCTTTATTGAACTTTTATCTCTACACATTAGCCTTCGTGTATTCCCCCTCGAAGAATGCACTGTATGGTAAGTGTAAGCCTTTGCCTGACAAACCTGGATGACAGGAGTTGGCATATTAGCAGACACCGTGCTACCTCTTCATATTTTGGTTCTCTCATTACTGTTTCAGTTTGCTTTGAGTTAACATAAGCAGAAGCTGCACTGCTCCTGAGCACATTAGTATTGGAAATATGAAGGAACACATAAAATGTTACCACCTGATTAGCTAGGCTTGAATTCTTATGCACTTAGTCAGTAGGGTGTTTGCATGTGATGCACCAACTTTTGAACTGACTCACAGACAGTCCTTAGGTAACAACTGCTTCATTTGTACTTTGTTCTAACAAAGGTTAATACATTGCCATGCTGGCAGGCTGGACTCCAAAATCAGTAACATGCTGTTGGAAAAGGAGTGAAGCTGATCTCAGATATGGGAGAAATTCTGGAGAAGTTGCTATGGGAAGGGCTGCAAAGGGTCCCTGTAAATGGAGATAAAGGACTGAATCAGTGGCACTTCTGTTTTTGCATTCCTATGTAGAGGATATAATCTGCCTTACATGATGATTATAAAGCATTTCTCTCTTTAACAGATAAAGATCTTTAAAGTAAATATTTGTACTGAGTCCATTTTCTGCTTTAAGCATTGAGTTAAAGATATAGAACCAGAGGAGTGCCCAGGTTGGAAGGGACCTGGAAAGGTCACCTGGTCCAACCTTTCATAGGAAAGGAAGCCTAGATGAGATAGATTATCTAGCAACCTGTCCAATCACATCTTGCATACTGAGTCATGCAGGGGGAAGGCACTAAAAACACCAGTGGAGCTGGTCCTTTTTCTAAACTTTCTAGAACTGAGATGGATAGAACTGTTACAGAAAAATGCTATTTTTCCACTAAGAATGGAAAAAGAACTGGCTGGGTGAGAATGAATGTTAAAACTTTCTGTTGGTTTGCAAGAAGTATTCATTTGTAGATAGCAGAAAGTAAAAGGCTGCCAGGAAAAAGATGTTATGGCAAAATGCTAGACTGAATTTTATTTGTATATAACTATGAACTGCAACTAAGCAGCACAGATTGTGCAAGAAATTAAGGCCTTAAAACAAGGTAGAGGGAGTTGTCATAAATAGCCAGTGAAAGTATGTGTTTCTTTTCATCTCCCCATGAAGATACAAATCCTTCCTTCATCTCTTAGAAGGATGGAGGATAACTGGATAATCATTGACTTGCAGTGAAGGGGTTCCAGCTTTGGTTTACTATATTTGTAGCTTAGAAATAACCAAGAAGTGTGTGCTTTTTAAATATATACAAACTTTTGATTTGTATATGAAGTCTGAATTAATTTATGTGCAGGTTGAAATAGTATGACATAGGAAACTGCACAAGGGAGGAAATTCACGTATACAGCATGGAGAATATCTATCTAAAAACAAGATGTCATCTTCTTAGGTCTTAATGATGATGTGGCTGAAGGGTGGAGAGTTCAGAGGAGAGTATTCCTGTCTGGATATAGTTTTGTTGAACTGTAGTTGTGTCTGCCTTGGCAGTTGTGTGTCTGTTGCTACAGTGTTGATTTGGATCCACAGTCACATTTCTATATTTAAAACACTAGGTTAACCCTTATTTGTATTTTCCAGAATCACAATTGAAAGACAATCCTGCTTTTTCTATGCTGAATGATTCGGATGACGATGTGATTTATGGGTAAGATTGTAAAATACCTATGGAGAGTTACTTCTGGTGTGTTATTTTTGTAGTATTCATTTCCATATTCATTAAATTAGTGAAGGATTTGTTAGTGAAAGTATTCTGCCTAAAGAACAGAAACTTAACCTTTTTCTAGAACAGAAATGCAATGAGAATGTGTATTGTTTTTTCTTTTTTTTTTTTTTTGGGTTTCTAAAAGGGATTGCCATGGCACTGATACAAACAGGTAAGAAAGTGTTACAATGCTGGTAGGTCCTGGAGTGAAGGCAGCAAAAGCTGCAAAGGAAAGGATTTCCTTTTTCACTAGGAAGGACAGCAGGACTCAGGTGGAGTTAGTGAATAGGGAGCTTACACATAAACGCATCAGGGAAGGAGAATGGCTCTTCTTAAGTGTCCATTGCTTACTGAATTGAGAATAATCAAGTCTAGCAAAACTTCCATGACTTGTGTGAGTTTATGTCATATGAGGTTTATAGTAGCACTTGAAACCCATCCCAGCCAGGTGTCTGTGTGCTGGGCACTTAAACACACTCCTTATCTGCCCTTGATGCTTTCACACTTGAAGTGGCTGGAACTGGGAGGGTGGGACCAACACTGCACTAAGCTGAACAAGATCATGCTGGACTAACCCTATTGATTGCCTGGGATAGCTTGCCTTTGGTAGTTAGCTGAGCAGTGATAGTGCCAGCTTGCTTCTATATGAAAATGGTTTGTAGTTACTAGAGTAACTTCTGTTATGCATCATCTTCTGGAGAGTTCATGTATGTTGTTCGTATCTCCCACAAGGAAGAAAAACAGATAACAAGTTCTTACCCAAATAACAATCTGATGCCCTAATGTAGTTTAGGACTTTCCTGTTTATTTTCAACTTTCTATCTGAGCACCACATTCAGGAGTTTCAACAAGTTTCTGTTTCACAGAAGTGACTATGAAGAAATGCCACTTCAGAACGGCCAAGCTATAAGAGCCAAGTATAAAGAGGAATCGGACAGTGATTGATTTTGTCGCAGACAGACTTGTTCAGCTGGAATTAAGCGAGTTCTGAAGTTTTCCTAGATGGACAACTTCCTTGGCTTCCCTTAGTCTGCTGTCATCTGAACACCAACTCCCAGGAAGGACATCCTGCTTCTGTTTACACAGTTAAAACTGAGAAAAAAGAATGCTGGAAATGGTTGTGGTGCAAACTCAAGAAACCAAAATTTTTACATGTCTTACAAAATGCCTGATGGCAGGGTGTCGGTGAACTAAAATCTCTAAGTCTATTTCCATTTAAAAGTCTCACTGACTATATACTGAGTTCCAAACTGCTTCCACTGCTTGGGTTTGGGCTTTGTTATGTTTGGGGGTTTTTAGGATGATGTACAGCTTACTGTCATTCATCTGTTGCATTTGCATTAGCTCCTTTGTATATTGTCGAGTGCTGTATGAAGTGCCTCATTTCCCTTTCAATTTTCTACCTTGGTCTTTTGAGCTGGAGGCAGGGAATGGTTTGTTGGGGGTTTTTTTTAATTCATGCAAGAAAACATAAGCTTTCTATTCTATTCTTCCTTCAAATAAGTGATATAGACTTAAGATCATTTTTTAATACGTTTAAATAAGTTTACGGGGCTTGTAAGTGCAAGATACGTGCAAACAGTCAAGTTCTAGTGAGCCAAAATAGTCTGTGGTGCAAAATGATTTGTATAATGTATGTTTCATGGCATGCTTTCCTGCCACAACATAAGTGTCTGGATTGGGGTTTTTAAGCAGCCCTTTCAAGTGGAAGTATTTCAGCAACACCAAACCTCAGAAGGAAGGGCAGTACTCTTCTTACTGAGCTTTTTGTGTGCTGGAGGAGAGAGTTACACTTACAGGGAATACAGTATGGAAGTTTCATAGGGAGTTACAACTTCACATTTCCAAACATTTCATTTTTAGAGGTTTTTTATTTCTCTACATCAGAATTTTTCCTTGAGTGGTATTAATGATAGTTGATCTACATCCTAGGAACAACTGTGGTTGCTCATGTATTGACTGCGCAGGAGCGTTAGCTTGTGAGCGTGTTCTGTGTGTGCAGAGTTCAGCCTTTGTCAAACCACAGTCACCACCTGTACTGATGGGAACTTTTATTACCACATTTTGTGATTATCTGAATTCCAGTCTGTGCTGGAATAAGTTATATGGGAATTAAGTATTCCTTGTACAATGCTGCTGCTTCTCTATTTAGAAGTTGGTTTTCTCCTACACTGTTGTTCAGTTCTTTATTTAAGTGGATGCTGTTTGTTTGTAACTACTTTTGTTTTCAGATACTTGACCTGTCTAAAAGTGTCTTTTTTCCCATGGATTTGTAACTGAGATTTACTCTTGCAAAATCACCCTGCTGCTGTAGAAGACTCTCAAAAGCACTGGTTGCACTAGGTTACACTAGGGATTTGTGGTCATCACTGAAGTAGTTCAGGCAGAATAGTGCAATGACGTCCTGCTAGACTTGCTGAATCATATTGGGGGAAAAAGCAGATTTGTTCTGCTTTCATGCAACAACTGCTTCAGACCATTCCCACTGCAGTAACCTCCCGGTAGCTGTTCAGGATTGTGAAGGGGAGACTTCACAGGGCAGCAGTTTGCTTAGAGGGGACCAAAGGAACTGCTACATATGGTTGCATCCTTGCTACATAGAACAGCTCAGATTCAATCGGTGCTCAGCTAAAGACAAGTGTGGTGAGACGTGTGTGTGTGAGAGAGAGAGAAAAAACTTCCTAAAATTATGTAGAGCTGTGACATTGTTTGAGAGTATCTGAATTTTAAAACTTTCTGTGACAGGGATCATTCATTTTTAGAAGCCAAAGCACTGTTGTATGGCTAAGGCAAGGAAACTGCTGGGGAGGAAGAGGTTTTCCCCTTTAACTTCTTAATTGGGGTCAGTTTAGAACAACATACAGGAAAACATTGAAGAAGTATTTCAAGTCAGTGGTGGTTTTTTCCTAGTGAACTAGGTAATTTGTACCATCAGCACTTCCTTTAGACTTTTTTTAACAAGTATGGGAGATACTCTGCACCCTAAAATTGGAGAGCCCCTTCTCATTTTCACTATTCCCACGGTGACTTTCCTGAGGCTTTACAGCTATTTGCAGAGTCAGACTTGGGAGCCAACTCAGCATTGTTTACACACCCTAAATCCTTCTGAGTTCCATTGGAATGACAGTGGCTACAGGCAGTAGGTCTTCAAAAATTTCTATTTACACAATCCTCATATATTCAGATATTTTTTTACTCTGATGTTGTTTCATTCATTCCTAAATTGTTCAGAAGAGATAAAATTTGACCAATGTGCAAAGTACACTAATGTTTCTTATCACTAATGTTTCAACCAGTCTGAACTGGTTGTTACAGTTAACCCTGAAATAGTGTCATGCTCTGGGATTTCATTAATTAAAGAATGTGTTTTTAATGTAACTTTGAGATTATTTTTTCTAAGCTGTTTTCAGCCCATTTCTCATGCTGTTTTGTTTGCATTAACTTTACTACATAGCTACATTCAAAGTGGAAATAGAAAAGCAAAGAATGGGAGATGTGTACTTAATTATCTATGAAAATAGAAAGGAAATAGTTTCCTTGCTAATTTTTAGAGATTGTATTTAAGCAGTGTTTGCCATGCAAAACAGCTTTGTATTGTGGCAGTGCTAGAGTGTTACGTTAAGCTTGGTTGAAGCACTGTCATGTCAAATTCAATATACAGTAAAAAGACAAAAGCAGTGAAGCAGATGAGGACCTAGTTTTGCTAGCAAGAAATCTCAGTTTGCCTTCTCTTATTTCCATGACTGGAATGCAGAGACAGCATTTGAAGAATATTACAATATGGATTTGTAAACATCTTGGGAGTAGGTGGCATAAATTCACCTGAGTCAAGTATTGTAACCTAAGGGTGAAACAGCACATATCTGGGCAAGAAACTAGCCTGGCTTTCCTTTCATTACTGCTAAAGTAATTATTTCCATCACTAGTGGAGCTATATGAAACGAGAGAAGTACACAGAAAGGAGCATACAATGATCCTGCTCTAAAGGAGAGACCATCTGTTAACTGCAACACTTCAAGAGACTCTGAAGAAATCAGTAATTGAGTGTGAGCCATTCATGGCAACTGTTTTCTGTAGTATTTGCTTTAAAAATTGGAATTGGTTGGAAACTTTCCTAGGACTGGCAAAGAAGAGGAAGCCTAAGGCTTAACACCAGTGAGAAACAGCTACTGCATTGGACCTGTGGTACCAATACTGGGGAGAATGGTTCCAGCTAGGAAAGACTTTGATCTACTGTCTTTCTCTGAGCCAAATGACCACTTTTTATCTGTAGTCACCTGATTTCCCCACCCATTTCCTTTTGCTTATGCCAGTAATAACCTTTGCATTACTGTAAAACTTTTTTTAGAAGTTTGTAAATATGTAAAATGAAAATACGGGGAAATTGTGTACCAAAATGGTATAAAAATGTGTAAGATAAATGCTCTGTTTAATGAGAAGCTGTAATTAAATGCTGCTTTGAGAAAGTGTGCATGAGGACATGTGTTAAATATTCTGTGTATTCAGAAGTTGTGCTAATAACAGCAAATTAGCCATTTATGTTGTAAAACTTCATGCTAATATGGAATATGAAGGAAACATGAATATTTTACTTCAAGCAAAGTATTGAGTTTCTTGGAAGACTTCATGTGCATAAGCGTTGTTAAATATGTTCATAATAAAGTTTTATATCTTTATATTGTATCTTGGGTTTATTTTCCTTCTGGTGGATTTTACTTTCCTTCTGGTGAACTGTGCCATTTTTTGGTTTACATGCGTTTTCCCTATGTGTTTTTAAACTTTGGTAATTGCACAAGGATGAGATCTGAGAGGCTGTGTCAGCACAGATTAACACAGGTTTTTTTGTTTGGTAGGGGGTTTTTTTCCCCTGCAAAAGTGATCAGCACGTCGCTGGCTCTGTGGGGAGATGCCATTCCTTACATACAGAAATCTCACTGTGCTGAATAAAACAGCCACAAACTTCCCTGCGCAGATGGGTATGAAACTTACTCCTGCTTTAATATCAGATATGGCAGTGCTTGTTTACCAGCAGCAGTTAAGCCTGAAGCCATTTGCTTTAGGCTTTAGCTAATGGTGGCAGACAGGTCATACTTGCAGCAGTGACAGTAAATGGCTTCCCCCTTCCTCCTCCTCCTCCTCCCCTGGGTCTGGGCTGACACGCCCCGGGTTCTATAGCTGCAGACATATGAAGAGCCATGGCTGCAAGTGAGAGACAGGACACAGAGACTGACTTCATAATTACCTTCCTGACCAGGCCAGCCCACAGGCTAGGCTAATGTTTTTTTAAGGCCCATTAATTACTTAGAGCAAGAACTCTGCAAGCTCATCCCCCCCAGTGCTTTACTTTGGCACTGAGATGAGCTGGCCAGCAATCTTAGAAAAAAGTGACTAAAACTAAGGTGTTTAAGATAATGAAAATGTAAAAATCAGTCACTGCAGAACAACAAAACTGGGCTATACAATGGTTAGCATCTTATAGCAAAGCCCTACGCTCGTTCATGGGAGGGGGACACCAACACCCAAACTCCCACAACTTCTACACTCCTTTCTGTACTCTCAAAACGGCTACCTTGGAAGTATTAGTTATAGTTCACATGTAAATCCACAAAACCATACCCACCTTTCTGTTGCACAACTTCTGTTGTAAGCAACAGGATTTTTCCTCCCATGCAGCTCTTACACTGACAAGCATTTCGAACATTCTTTTTTTCTGCAGCTCAGCACATGCATAAGAACAAACAGCAAAAAAACCAAGGGGTTTGCTATTATTAACATGAACAAAGGATAAGGAATGTTTGAATGGCTTGACCAAGATGCAAATATCTTCCCAAAGTGCATGAAACTATTTCTTTTAAATGTAAATAAACAGCTGAGTAGGTACTAGAGTATCAGCACCATTCTGGCATGCTGATGGAAAGGAGATAAATTATCTAAGCATCCAAGTGAAAAAATTCCTTAGCGATTCAGAGAGCAAAGATTCAGTCTTTTTATAAGTTTCTCTCTCACCCTGATGACTCTTTTAGGCACTTAATTCAATCTCATGTTTTAATATTTTCTTTTTTACAGGTGGTGTATCATTTCTGACTGAATACTCAGTGTTCTGCTTCTAGTGAAACCCATGCAAAAGCTCTCTCTGCTACAGAAATGCAAGGTCTATACTCCTCAGTCTAAGGTATGGACGCTGTGTATAGCCCTGTAGCACTCACTAGGACACATGCAGGAATGATCAAGTAGCTTGTGTTCAGAGCTGTTTTGAAACTGGTATGTTTGCAGAAATATGTAAGCCTTACAGCTATATGAAAAGCTTCAAATGTACCAAGCCCAAAGCTGCTGATAAAGACAACTGTTTTGCTGTACTGACAGCAGAGATGGATAGGAAGGAGAGGTCAAAGCCTTGCCTAGCACAGGTTTTTCCAGTCTGGATACACTGAGCAGAGCTAGCCCAGAGAGCTCCCTATGCACCTATAGCACTATGACAACCAAAGCCTCTACTGGCAGTTGAACTTTCAGCAGTAAGTCTTTCCAGATCGTGAAAACAAACTGTTGTTATCAGCAGTCATCTCCCTCTAAACTACTTCAGCTGAGAGACAGAACCTGAAAACATTTGCCAGGGCTTCCTAAACAGAAGCAAATCCAGGTCAGTCAGACTAGCCCACACTTGCTTTGTAATTCTCTCACCTTCCCCAGCAGTGAGCTCCTGCTTACAGAAGCAGCATCGCAGTTCACACAGGTCTTCTGAAATTCATAGCACGCTGCAATTTCATTAATTAGCTGACAAAACCTTATCCAGGCCTATGCTGAAAACTCGTTTTACTTGTTATTCTTCTGCAACTTTAGAAGGCAGAAAACGTATTCACGTGTCATTTAGTCACGTCACATCGAGGCAGGTTTTTCCCCTTTCAGCAAGGATCGTGTTTCACCAACTATCAGAACTCATCACAATCACCATCAGCAAAATCAACACTGACGGTAGCAACTAAGTTCAAGACCTGCTTTATAAATGCAACTAGCTGCAGAAGTGAATGATTAGCTAGGCAGAGCTTGCTGAGAGCTTATAGAATGTGAAACATTTCTTATCTTTGTTCAATTAAAACAGTAATTTCTGTTATCGCCCATGCCCTAAATACCATACCATCAGATTTAACAGCTCCCAAAAATGCAGCCAAGTTACTTTCTGATAAACACACTAATTTTCTTGCAAGTTTGTAGTGACTTTGGCAAAATTATGACAGTGCTTTGCATTCTGGTATGTATCTCAACTACCTCGAAGACAACAACTTTTTTTCAACTACAAGAGTTCAGTATAAATGAGTCAGACCAATGGTTATGAATGTCAATAATTTAATGCTAACCAAAAGTACAAAGTGTGAAAGTCAGTGTCTCATTTATATTGGTCTTAAAAAAGAAATCTAGAGAAAGTGTCTACACTGCAGCAGATTTCAGTATTAGCACCTTCAAGAGAAGTTTTGAGGTGTTAAGAAAGTGTGGCAACACTGGTACAATACTAGGTACAAACATAAACCATGTAACAACAGGTTTTCATATTTCTATGTCTGAAGAAAAGTTACTTAAAAAATGTAAAAGCAAGTTGTTCAGGTATTCACAGTTTGAATGGAGATGGAGTCAAGTGCTGGAATAGAAAAGCATGAACGGTTTCAAGGCAACTATATTGCAAGTCCAAAGGCACTGACAATACAGTACATGGTCTTATTCTCCCATCTCACAGTGCAGGTTCCTACAAATACAAAAAAAAAAAAGGGTTTCAGACACAGAGTTACAGTGATTAAATGCATACCCCTATATACATGGTTCTATCTGCTGACTTTAAGAATCTTAAGCGTGAAGCCTTCCCAACAGCTAAGTATTTCATATACAGCCCAGTTAGCATCACAGCCAAATGGAAAAAATACCAAGCAGCATGCTAGTACTCCAAAGCTACAGCACTTGGGGAAAAAAGGAAAGTATGCAGCCTACTCTTACAGATGTAAGAGTGGCAGTAAAGCTGCAAGTTGAAAAATCCAACAGCTGTGTTCCTTACCATCACTGGAGTTGTCCCAGAAGCAAGAGCTTGCTGTATGCAGCCCAGCACCATTCTTCTGCATAATCACACAGGTCACTGTCAGTAGAGAAGCTTTTATTAATTTATCACTCACAGTAATTAACATTCAGCTACGTTTTTGCTCAGCACAGCACACGCTTACACACGCGTGCGCATATCCATGCTGACAAGCAGTTCACAGACATGGTTCTTGCTGAGGTCTTCCCCCACCCCTGCCCCTCAGTGCACTGGACTGTAGCAGCTTCACAGAAAAGAGAGAGCTGAGCTCACCGATGTACTTGAAGGGCTTCCCCAGCTTGGTGAGCTGGCTCAGTGTTTGCTCCACCACACTTGTTGTCCACTGGTTCACTTTGCTGTGCTGGTAGGCATTGCCACCTATGGCACTCTCGATGGCCTGTTGGTGACAAACAGGGAGAGGAGCTGCACTGCTGTCAATTACAAAGGACTCAATGGCCCATTCCAGCATGGGCCTCACACCCAGGGAAAATTCCTGAACACTGGTGGGCCACACTGGCTGCTGGAGGTGTTTTCAATCATTAACAACTTGCAGGTCAGAGCCTGAGCCAGGCACAGGGGAAAGCATTACAGATTCCATCCCCTGTTCATTTTGTGATATTTAGATTATTTGTAGTCCCTATCCCAATGCCCTTCAGCCAGCTAGGAAAAGGGTCTTGATTTAAACAGTCCCGAAGAGAGTGAAAAAAGTGTACATAGCAATGGTTTATCCACACGTATTCTTCTACAGAAAAGAACTTTCAGGATAATTGTTTTTGGGAAGCAAAACCCCAGATCAAAACAAAAACCCCATGTGATTGGTAGTTACTGACAGAGCAGAAGCCTTCAGCCAAACAATCCATTCTAGTTATGAGGACAGTTTCCCCTTTACGATACAGATAAATGTATGTTAAAGGCATGTATTTTTCATTGACACATTTTTTCATCACAGAAATTGTTTAAAAAATAACCACAAAAGTCTTTCAAATTCAGAAGAGACAGGAGCATGTACGAAAAGCATTTGCATTCCATTTACAGAGTCTGACCAAAACAGTCATTTTGCAACATGAGAAAGATTGCACTAGTTTACAAGAGGAATTCCAAATCCCTCTGGAAATTTTCCAGAGAGAAAATTCATGTTTCTTAGCAACAAGAGTAGTTCGATCATTCCAAACAAACAAGAACTCACTTTGGAGACACACATCTTAAGAGAACACAGCAACATGAACATGCAGTTCATGAGAAACTCCTGTGTATTTTACTGAAATACAGATTCTATTTCTATGGGGTTACCATAAAAGATCCCCCTAGAAACTCTAACAGGGATGCACTGCAACCAGAGAGGAGCATATCAAACTATTTTAATTAGATTTTTGGATTTGCAATACATATCACAGCTAAAGCTAGGCAACGGTTCCCCTTAAAAGTCTGTACACTGGTTAAATCAGCAGCTACCTATACTTTGATAGCAACATCTCCAGACATCTATTACATAGCAGTTGTCAGATTTTATGGAATGCCTTTCAGCACACACATACAACATACTATACTTTCACACCAACAAAAAGGAAATGTTAAGTTTACCTCTTTAATGATGCTACTGACTTCATCAACAACAAAGGAAGTCTACAAAAAAAAGGTAGAATTTTAAATGACCAGTGGACACATCCTTGTGTTTACAGAGTTCAAACTTAGTTAAGAACAGGCACCAGAAGTTTAAGTCATGCTTGTCAGATTTCTGGCAAGCCAGAGGATACTGAGCCTTCCTTTATTTGCTCATATGTACTCTTGTCTCCTTGAGCCCAGTCAAAGTCAACATTCTTAGCAAAGCAAGGAAAAGTGAGTGATGCACTGAAATTGTCAGGACTTTTGAGTCAAAAAAGTTTTCAAATTTTAACTTGGAAGTGTTTTAAAATAACATGTATAGCGCTTCTGTACATATACATGCTCCTTTCCCAATAAGCACTGATGTCTGCACATCACAGTGGGCTCAGAGACAACCTCAGTTTGCAGTTAAATGAAAGCGACATCTCCAGGGCACTGAAGCAGACAAAACATCCATTCACTGCTGAAGGAAAAACTGTCATGGCAATCTCAGCTGGGGTTAAGAAGAAAATTGTCCCCTGGAAGCCAAAGGTGAAATGTAGATTGCTGGATGTTCGGCCTTCTCTCAGGCACTGGGGAGTAGAGATTAAGCACGTGGAATCAGGACAGAGAAGGCCCTACTGTTCTGCTAATCGTAGAACTACTACCTGTTTACATGTATGGTTAGGATGTCTCCTTGTTTAAGTCCCTCAGCTCTTGCTGCCTCCCATGTCAGGAGGTTAGAACGCGCCAGTGGCAGAGCTGGGGAGCACTGCAGGGATCACCCTGCACAGCACAGCAGTGAGCCACACTCCTCTCTTCACTGTGGGGTCTCACAGCCTCCCTCACAGACCAGGAGAAAGGAACTGGACAAAGGACGTGCACATAAAATCAAACTAATCCATTTCAGAAGACCAAATTAGGATTTAAAAATGCACCTAACCAAGCACGACTGGTTCTCACTGGGAGGTCTGTCAGCTTCTGCAGCTGACAAACACAAGTGACAGCGTAACTCGCATGTGCAGGCAGGATGCAGCTGCACCTGCCCAGGAGAACTCCATCATTACATTCGTAACGCTTTGGTCAGAGGCCGAACAGTCCAGCCAGCTTCGATGACGTGTGGCACTCAGAAAGATGTGAGCAGTGGAGTGTTCTGTGTGCCAGGACGAACAGCACATCCCAGGAGACACATGGGCAATTCCTTCTGTATAACTACTTGGGGGCACCAACTTGCTTGTACACCTCAACATCTCTAAAAGTCTTTATGTGCTGGGGCAAAGTGGCTTTTATTTCCAGCTCCTGGACTCCGATTTCATTTTAATAGGCCTCGTTTATTTTCATGGTACTGATTTTTACGGGTGCTTACATTTCAAGGTACCAAGTAAGAGCTGCAGTTAACAAAACACTCTCTCCCAGAGAGCAGAAGCTGAGAACATCCATGCCAGACACGCTGGCAGACACAGAGTGTGTTGTCAACCAAGACAGTAAACTACATACAGCTCTATTCCTCACAAAGTCTAGAACTCTGCTCTGAAATGCCTTTTACTGAGCACCAATAGGGTAAACCGACCTAAATTCAACCCCAGTTCTGGAAGATATCTTGAGACTTAATGTATACTGAAACAACAAAGTTGAGAACTTGCTTCTAGAGCTGCTGTTGCTTTTCAGCCTTCTTCCCTTTTTTGAGATGGCAAAAAGAGAACCTAAGAAAAAAGAGCCCAGCTTTGGGACTTGGGTGCTGTACTTGAGCTGCCAAACAATACAACGCTACCAGTTCATCTTTTAATGAGACGACATAAACACTTTTTTTTTGCATTAAAAAAACGAAGGGAAAAAAACGAAGGGGAAAAAAACGAAGGGGAAAAAAACGAAGGGGAAAAAAACGAAGGGGAAAAAAACGAAGGGGAAAAAAACGAAGGGGAAAAAAACGAAGGGGAAAAAAACGAAGGGGAAAAAAACGAAGGGGAAAAAAACGAAGGGGAAAAAAACGAAGGGGAAAAAAACGAAGGGGAAAAAAACGAAGGGAAAAAAACGAAGGGAAAAAAACGAAGGGAAAAAAACGAGGGGAAAAAAACGAGGGGAAAAAAACGAAGGGAAAAAAACTAAGGGAAATAAACTAAGGGGAAAAAAACTAACTGAAAAAAAAAAACTAAGCGAAAAAAAAACTAAGCGAAAAAATGCAAAGCTTTACAACATCCCTGCGGCATAAGGAGCACAGAGGCGTTGCCAGCACTTTGTTTAACCAGGGTTCACCCGGCTAGAAGATGCGCTATCTTCTACACCACAGAGCGCCGCTCTACGCCCAAAACGCTTTTTTCCAACAGCTCTAAGAACGACATTCAAACCCATTTTCCTCACGCAGCCAGCACAAGCATTCCCACCACCACCAGCAACCT